GGAATCCAACGGTGTTCTGACAGAATTCACAAAAGTAGGACTCACCCTCGGGTGTTACATCTTAGTAATTGTATCTTTAAAGCTTCCAAACTATGTAAATGGTTACGTCACTCTCTCGTGACGGCCAGCATGCCCTCCTTTGAGGACGAGGTGTGTCAATTTTGGTCAATGTTTTTTTATGCATTTTTTGTTTTCATTTTGTTAAACAAATTTTGTTCTCCTTCATTATTTCAATGTTTCTTTTTAGTTTTCTATAAGAATTATTTCTAGATTTATAAAATTTACATTTGATTTTAAAAGGCTAAATGGAAAACATAGCCCACACTCCTATCCATCTAATGCGCCCTTATACAAAAGCACAGAAAATAAAAGTTCGAGTGTGCAAAATATGGAGACCAAGATTTCTCGGAAGCGTAGAAAAATTTTCGAGCCTTCATTGTATATTAGTCGATGAAATGGTGAGAAGTTATTATTTTATTATTTTAATTAAAATTTATGATAAGAATAGTTAACAATGGACATGACAATTTTCCTTTTTATCATTTTTTCACATATTAACCAATAAATTTTATGTTGTTCAAATTAATAAAGGATTTTTGCAAGTATTCTGTTCTTAGTTTCAAGTGGTTGTTTGGTTTGGTAAAGTTAAGATTACAATTTTTTTTCGACGGAGTGGTGCGCTGCCTTCAGTTTCCGCCTAATTAGGAAAATCGTATACATTTTGTGTTTCTATAGTTACGATTCAATGTATACATGCTAATGTTGTTAAAATCATAATCTTCGTTTAATTTCGTTTGTTAATTATGCTTTTGACTTTTTATTCCTTTTTCTGCTTTAATGAATTGTAAAGCAACATGCAGTTGAGGCCTATACAGCTGACATAGACTACGAGATCCAAAATTGAAGCTGGTGGTTGTTATGAAATCATGGATTTTCATGTGAATAGAATGAGAGGTCAATATAGAGTTGTCCTATATGATACTTAAGTTGTATTCACTGGAAAAACAACTTTCAAAAAACTGACGGGTGTATTCCCACCCATCCCTAGACATCGATTTTACTTGCAAGACTATAACCGTCTTTATCCGCGGTTGAATAGGGTTGATATTCTAACAGGTAATAATAATAGATATATAGATGTATTAAAACATTTGTCTTTATTTTTTAAATGAATTTTGGCAATCTAACTATATTTATTTGTTAAATTACGAGATATCATGGGTCGTATAACTACTGTACAACATCTCGAACGGACACAAGTTAATTAAAGAATTGAATGCAAGTGTGATATAATCATTCAGAATATCAGGTTACTTTTTCTTTTTCAATATTGTATAAATTATTTTGCATATGTATTATATTTACAATACACCAAATTTTAAATATTCTTTGACAATTCTTTATTATTAAACCAATTATATCATGTTTATAATATTAAATTGAAAGCTATTAATAGAAAAGTCAACACATTTTTCACTACCTCTTCATTTTTTTTTTCAAATTAACTTCTCTTGCAGGAGAAAAGAGTTGAGAGTCACGTTATGAGCACATGTTGCAGAAACTTTTTCTTCTTTATCAGCTCAAGCATTCAACCCACTGGTCATGATTGTTTTGACAAGTTTGAAAGTAAAGTTGTACCTAGGTATTTAATTTGATTAAAAACCAATCTATTTAGTCTTTTTTTTATTACGTTGAAATATTTTTTAATTTAGACTCTCTCAGTGTTTTATTATGGAGCAGTTTAAACATATTTACTGTCTTCGATATGGAACCCGTGTTCATATTTTTGGTTTACAAATCCATAGTTGTCATCACAATTCTAACTACAATTGTTGTTTATTCTTGCTACTTTGTGATAGTTTTACTTTCGATTCAGTGATTTCTATTAGTTATCTTTCATTTCTTCATAAAATTATACAATGGTATACACACACACACACACACATATATATATATATATATATATATATATATATATATATATATATACACTAGTGATTCACTAGTCTTAGCTAACCAACATCAGTCAGCAACTTGCAAATCCAGGTGAGTTCGGTTGCAGTGTTTGCAAGAGACCGATATTCAACCTCAGTCGAGGATAGAGCCACAGTAGGCTGTTTCTTTGCACTCGAGCTGATAAGAGAGTCTCCCAAAAAGATTACAAAACCACTAGTGGATCTTCTGTCAATGCTGCAACCTGCCCAATTTGCATCGGAGAAGGCAGTAAGAGTGAGAGACTTTGAACACTTAGGAAACCATAGGCCAAAAGATAAGGAGCCCTTAAGATATGGAAGAATGCGCTTGACTGCCTGGAAATGTGCTTGCCGAGGGCTATGCATGAATTGACAGACCAAATTCATTGCATAAGATAAGTCGGGCATGGTCCAAGTTAAATACTGCAATCCACCAACCAGAGATCGATATTCTTCAAGGTTATCAAGCAGAAGATTCATGATCTAATTTAATGGTGCTAATTGGTGTAATACAAGGCTTGGAACCTTCCATATGAGCTTTGGTGAGCAGATCAAGAATGTATTTGTTTTGAGAAAGCAATATCCCTGAGGATGATCTTGTTACTTCAATACCAAGAAAGTAATGAAGGGGACCAAGATCTTTGATAGGAAATAAGGCACTGAGTTAGATTATAATCTCTTGACAAAGGTGGGAATTTGGACTAGTGACAATAATACCATCAACATAAATCAGAATGAAGACCAAAGATGGTTCCCTTTTTACAAACAGAGAGTAGTCATTCTGAGAACCGGAGAAACTGAGAGACTTTAAGGTAGTTGTTAATTTTTCATACCAAGCCCTGAGGGCTTGCTTTAAACCATACAGAGACTTATGCAAATGACAAACATGAGTGGGCTTTGTAGGATCTTCAAATCCTGGTGGTTGTATCATAAAAACAGATTCAGCGAGATTACCATGCAAGAAGGCATTGCTGATATCAAGTTGATTGAGAAACCAATCAAACTTGGCAGCCAAAGTGAGAAGAAGCCGAATTGTAACCGGCTTAGCAACTGGACTAAATGTTTCAATGTAGTCCAAACCTTATTGTTGATGAAAACCTTTGGCAACAAACCTTGCTTTGTACCTATCAATGGTACCATCAGGTTTGCGTTTGATTCTAAATACCCATTTTGTACCAACCAGATTTTGAGAAGAATTAGAAAGGACCAAAGACCAAGTTCCAGTTTGAATAAGAGCATTAAATTCTTCCTACATAGCTTGCCTCCAGTGAGAGTGTTTGGAGGCTTGAAGATAAGTGGATGGTATATAGTCCAGTGATATCGCAGAGGAAATGGGATGTTTAGTTGCTAAAAGAGCCTTTGGTTTCACAATACCAAATTTTGAACTAGTTTGCATGGCATGAGTATTTTGAGGTATGGAAGGTGTGGCAAGTGTATTAGGGGTAGATATGGGATTAGAAATGGGATTAGAAGGTGAGGGAGAAGAAGTAAGTGCAACAAGGGGACTAGGTATAGTAAGGGAAGTAGGTGGTAGTGGTGGAGGTATAGTGGGAAAAGTTAAGGTTATGGGAATGGTGTGGTGATGCTGCAGTACTGAAGAACTAGAACTTGATTAGAGATGCTGCGATAAGACCTGTTGAGCAAAGAGAAAATTGACTTCATAAAAAATAACATGTCGGGAAAGATATACTCTGCCAGGATGAAAATTGAGACACTTATAACCCTTGTGATTCAAACTGTAACCCAAGAAGACACATACTTTGCTTTTTGGATCAAGTTTAGATGATGTGTAAGGCTTCAACCATGGAAAACATTTGTAGCCAAATACTTTCAGAGATGTGTAATCTGGAGTTTTGTGAAATAGTAATTCCCAAGGAGAAGGTTTGGTAACTGTTGGCATTCTATTAATCAAATAGATGGTCGTGGCAAATGCATCATCCCAATAGAGCTTAGGAACTTGAGAGGCTGCTAGAAGAGTTCTAGTTGTTTCAACTAGATGTTTATGCTTGCGTTCAGCATAGCCATTCTGTTCAGGCATGTAAGGGCAACTCAATTGATGTGAAATGCCATGCAATTGCAGATAATTGATGAACTTGAGACTAAGAAACTCTCCTCCAGAATCAGATATTATAGTGACTATTTTAGAACTGAGCAGATTTTCCACTAGAGATTTAAATTTGACAAATGTGTCAAAGACACCAAACTTGGATGCAAGAGGAAAGAACCAAGTATATTTGGTATAATCATCAACAAAAATGATGTAATAGCGATGTCCATTAATAGAAAGAATAGGTGCTGGACCCTATACATCAATGTGCAACAATTCCAGAGGTTTACTGGAGGTACAGGAAACGAAAGCAAAAGGAAATTTTGAAGACTTGCCAAGAGCACAACTAGAACAGACAGTTTTATTTAAGGCACTAGAAAGAGAAATACAGGACTTAGAAGAAAGCTTATTTAGTATCTTGAAGCTAGGGTGACCTAATCTTTGATGCCATGTATGTTGTGAAGCTTTAGCATGTGCTGCAAAAGCTTGTTTATTACCAACAATAGAAGATGCATGAAACAGATAGAATCCATCTCTCACAGGACCCTTAAAGAGCGTTTTCTCCAAAGAAAGATCATTCATAAGGAAGTGAAAAGGATACAAATGAATTGAACACCAATTATCAAGTATGAATCGATTTGCAAAAATCAAATCTTGCTTAAGATGAGGAACATGCAGAACATTCTTGAGAGCAAAACAATGAGAAGCAGTGTTAATATTAGAAGATCCAGAGTTAAGGATGGGCAAACCTTTGCCATCACCAACATAAACTTGTTCAGGTCTATTGTAAGGCTTATGATTTTGCAAATGAGTGTAAGAATTGGTCATGTGCGAGCTAGCACCAGAATCAAGCAACCATGTAGGAGAAGTAGTTACATTGTATGCAGTCGAAGAAATCTTGGCACCATAATGAGGATTCATGTGGTAAGGACACTCTGCAGCTTCATGATCCATCTGACGGCAAATTTGGCAAGATAGCTTTATGTTGAGTTGTTGTAGTAGGAACGAGAACCTTGATTTCCATGATTATACTGGTGATTAACTTGATTTCCATGATTATACTGATGATTACCTTGATTTCCACGATTGAACCTTGGATGACTCTGAGAGCCTTGGAAATTCCGCTGAGTGCCTCGATTGTGGAAGTGTCGAGAATTAAAGAAGTTGCCACGATTCGAAGTGGAACCATTCTGAGTAAAGAATGCCTGAGAACCAAAATCACTAGTTGGTGTGGGAAGAAGACCATCAGAGGTATTAAAAGCTTGAATCGATGTTGACAAAGATGCTGGCTTGCGAGCATTTAATTGCAATTCCTTACTCAAGAGAATGCCATGGAGTTTATCAACGGTGGTGGAACAAAGTCGAAATTGAACAACATCAATGAAAGATTCATACTTAGAAGGCAGACCATGAAGAATTACAGATATAAGCTCAGAGTCTTCAATTGGAGCACTGACATTGGCTAGGGCATCAGCAATTTCTTCAATTTGTTAGAGATAGATTGCAGCTGTAGAACCGCCCTTCGTGATATTGCAAAGACAAGAGCGAAGCTCATGGATGTGGGATTGCGATGCAGTGGCTAGATGCGATTCCAATTTGGACCATAGCTCCAGGGGCGAATTAACACCAACAATGTAGGGAATGAGAGCATCCGAGAGCGTAGAGTTGATCCAGATCAAGATGTTTTGATCATTCTCATACCATGCAACATATTGGGGATTCAGAGTGGCAGTGCGATTTCCAGATGCATCAAGAAAGAATTTCGACGGAGCAGCAATCGTGCCGTCAATGAATTCGGTAAGATTGTACCAGCGAAAAATCAGAGCAAATAAGGCCCTCCAGGTCAGGTAGTTCGTCGTTGTAAGCTTGATTGGAACCATGGATCCAATTTTTTGGATTGTAATCATAGAATTAGGGTTAGAATGGCAGCAGGAATTGGATGAATAAGAGAATCTGAAGCGGAAGACTGAGCTGCAGAGTTTGCCATAGCTTGAAGAAGAAGCAGAGATCACAATCGATTGATCGGAGAAGAAGAGAGAGAAGCAAAACCCTAGGAGATGATGCAGAGAGTGAAGAGAGAGAAGCGGGAAAATTAGGATCGAAAATGTTGTGAGACTTTTAGGCGATTGATACCATATTAGAAATGTTATCTTTCATTTCTTCATAAAATTATACAATGGTATACACACATATATACACTAGTGATTCACTAGTCTTAGCTAACCAACTAATTACAAAATACCCAAACAATCATTCACTAACTACAAACTGCCATAACCACCTTATAACAATTTCTAACTAACTCTGCTTTTAACAGTTTTATCCTTATTAATTTCTTTGTCTGTGAGTAATTGACATAGAAGTATTACAATGTATAGGTGCTTATTAACTATAGTTAATCATTTTCTTGGTTTAGTTAACTTTCTGTGCAGCTGTAAATACAAATGGAAATGCTGCTGATCTAATCAGTTGTTGCCCAGCATGTTATAATTATTTAGATAGGCGTTAACTTTTGTGAGAAAATTTTTATTTCGTTTTAAAGTTATATAAACGTGTTTAAAGTGTCTGTTAATATTTTCTTCTTGCTTTTTACATTATTTTTTCAAAGTGTAGATAACATTGTCTTGAACAGTATTCTTCACTCTTCTTCATTGATCCAGACATTGTAGAATGAATGCTTACAAATCAGTGTGAGTGGATTTACAATTTTTAACATAAAGTAAAAACTTATTCATTATTTTTGTAATAAAAGGTGTTGATGCACAAAACCTGAGGGGTCTTAGAATAACGTAAATCCGACCGTGAATTTGCAAGAAAGTAAATAATACAATATTTATCGTGGTTCACCCCAAGGTTTGGGCTACGTCCACACTGATATTGTATTTCTGAGGGAGAGAGAGCTCTGAATATGAGAATGAGGCTTTGAGAGGGTGAGAGTCAAGCCTCAGGATTGGCCTCCCCCAATTGTGAGGGTGAGGAGTCCCTTTTATAGAATAAGGGTTCCTCACTTATTACATATTTGCCCCTTCCTTTATTACATAATTACATTTGAGTCCCTCGAGTATTTATACGAGATCTAAATACGGAGGCCCTAAGCATGGTATAAACAGTAGTCCCCCAAGTTTTCAGTCAATAGAGTCTTTTGGTTGGAGACTTGAAATTCAGTCCATGTGTGGGCCGAAGTAACTGGATGTCTTCTATAACTGATACTTGATATGAGGTGGTGCTCAATGTGAAATGATGCTCAACTAGAAGTAGCACATGTTGCGAGGCTGCTCGGCTTGTGGCTTATGTTGCCTTGGTTGGCTCGGCTTGTGGCGTTGGAGGTGAGGGAGTCCCTTTTATAAAATAAGGGCTCGGCTCTTCAATACATAAATGATGGGCTAGAGTTGATGTTTGCGGCGAGACGGTTGCTCAACTGACCGTGATGCTCTCTAATGAAGGTGAGGGAGTCCCTTTTATAAAATAAGGGCTCGCTCCTCAATACGTGAATAATTGATTAGGAGTGATGCTCGCGGCGAGGCGGTTGCTCAGCTGGCAGAGATGCTCTCTAATGAAGGTGAGGGAGTCCCTTTTATAAAATAAGGGCTCGCTCCTCAGTACATGAATAATGGGTGCTCTTTTAATGAAAGTGAGGGAGTCCCTTTTATAGAATAAGAGTTCGCTCCTTAATACATAAATAATGGGTTAAGTCCCCCAAGTATTTTTTTATGAGGCCCAATATATGGTACATGATGTAAATAACAGACGGCGCCAAATGTTGATGCACAAAACCGGAGGGGTCTTGGAACAACGTAAATCGGACCGTGAATTTGCAAGAAAGTAAATAACACAAGATGTATCGTGGTTCACCCCAAGGTTTGGGCTACGTTCACATTGATATTGTATATCTGAGGGAGAGAGAGCTCTGAATATGAAAGTGAGGCTTTGAGAGGGTGAGAGTCAGGCCTTAGGATTGGGCTCCTCACTTATTACATATTTGCCCCTTCCTTTATTATATTATTATATTTGAGTCCCTCAAGTATTTATACAAGATCTAAATACGGAGGCCCTAAGTATGGTATAAACAAAAGGCATGTTTTTTTTCATCAAAGAACTCAAATAATAGGGTAAATTACATGGTTGCCCCTCAGGTTTGAGGTCTATTTGCAATCTTATACAACATCTTTAAAACATTTCACTTTCATACCTCAAGTACTATTTTATTTCAATTTCATACAACCGTTACATTTTCCATCCATGGATCTGTTAAATGCTGGCGTGGCTGCCACATATATGTCATGTGACTGCCAAATGTCTGCCACGTGGCAAATAAAATAATTTTTTTTTAAAAAAAATCTGAAATTGGAAGAAGAAGAAAAAAAAAAGGGACCGAACCCCTGCAACCCAGAAGAAGAAGGAGGAAGAAGAAGAAGAGAAGAAGAAAGAGGAGGAGGAGGAGGAAGAAGAAGAAGAAGAAGAAGAAAAAAAGAAGAAAGGGACCGAACCCAGAAGAAGAAGGAGGAAGAAGAAGAAGAGAAGAAGAAAGAGGAGGAGGAGGAAGAAGAAGAAGAAGAAGAAAAAACAAAAAAGAAAGGGACCGAACCCAGAAGAGAAGAAGAAAGAGGAGGAAGAGAAGGAAGAGAAGAAGAAAGAGGAGGAGGAGGAGGAAGAAGAAGAAGAAGAAAATAAAAAAGAAGGGACCGAACCAGAAGGAGGAAGAAGAAGAAGAGAAAAAGAAAGAGGAGGAAGAGGAAGAAGAAGAAAAAAAAAATTGATCGAATCCCCTGCAACCCAGAAGAAGAAGGAGGAAGAAGAAGAAAAGAATGAGGAGGATGAGGAGGAGGAAGAAGAAGAAGAAGAAGAAGAAGAAGAAGAAGAAGAAGAAAGAAAAAAAAAAGTGGCAGACAGGTTTTTTAAAAAAAAATTAAAAAATTATTTTATTTGCCATGTGGCAGACATTTGGCAGTCACGTGGCATATATGTGGCAACCACGTCAGCATTTAACAGATCCATGGATGGAAAATGTAATAGTTGTATGAAATTGAAATAAAATAGTACTTGAGGTATGAAAATGAAATGTTTTAAAAATGTTGTATAAGATTGCAATAAATCTCAAACCTGAGGGGCTACTATGTAATTTACCCCAAATAATATTACATTTTAAATCTTGCAGGTTTGCCAATTGCACATAGGCTATAAAAAAACTGCCACCCTCTTCAAAACAGGCCAATGAAGCTGAAGTCTTGCAGGCTGCCAAGAAAGTAACCATCGAGGAATTAGCTTTTCTAGATCCAGATTTACACAAAGTATAAAAACTATTACATCTCTTTATCTTTTTTAAAAAATCTATAACTACATTTTTATATCTTTGCTTAAAACTATATATATTTTCAATTATCTTTATACAAATCTTTGTTAAAATATGTTACAGGACGATACATTTTTGTGCAAAGCGTCTGTAAAGCGTTTTGACACACGCTATGATTGGTGGTATAGCACTTGCCCAAATTGTGCCAAACAAATGCAGAAGGATCTGACAATTGGGCAATTGGTTTGTCAAAAACATGGAAGCCAGATTCCGACTGCTTGGTAATATCTAAAATGCTATAGTTTAGTTTTGTTATTTATCATTTAAAAAATTTGCTATGTCTATTTTACTTTTTTTTTTTTTTGCAACTTCTAACAATATGGTCGATCACGTATTTGTTTGCTGATTTAATATAGATAATATTGCACGTTTAACAAATTGGTATAAAACATTCAAACTTTTTAAAATATTGTCCAAAATTGTAAACCCTTAAAAAAAATTAAAAAGTTAATCATCTACTCCATTTGAAAATACATGAACTCAACCTGTTTTCCAATTTTTTACCATGTTTGTCTGCACATCATATTTTTATGGTTATGTAAAGTAATTTTAGGTGTTTAAAACAGTTGGATAAAATCATATTCACCTATATGTTATTCAACTTAAAATTACTATGTGTAAGCACATTTTATCCCATCATGCTTAGTCCTGAACACACAACCATGCAACCAACAACTCCGTAGGCCATGCTAACAGAAATTACAGTGTTTTCAACAACGGTTTCATCTTCGACTTCCACACCTGAAACAACTGCCCAATCGCATAAATGAAATAGGAAATCAGTCAAAAGGTCTCTTTTTAGCAGTAGTGAACAAAGGCTATAACTTACCAAACAATTTTGTTTAGGTTTTTAACTATCTGTTGGAAAATATTATTATTTAGATTTATTTTAATGTTTGGTATTTTGGGCTTAGCCCCGTTAGTATTAGGGTTTCGTTTCTTTGCCTATTAGGGTTAGGTTAGTTTTCTATATATATGGTACTTTGTAACTCTATAGAATAACAAGTTAGCGACAATGTAGTCTCTTAAGGTTTTGTAGTTGTTTTGGCATTCTCAGTTTGTTTAATAATATTCTTATTATTTGTTAGTCTTGTTCATTGCGCACTCTGATATTCAACTTGGTATCAGAGCAGGTTTGATCTTTCGGGATTTAATCTGTTCTTGATAGGTATCCATGTTGTTTGTTTGATATTAGTTTTGAAAAAAAAAAAAAAATCAGTTTGCTTCGTCATGTCATCGTCCTCTGCTACCGTTCGAAATTGCATCCGCACCTAATCTACATCACCACTCGTGTTGTTTCACGTTTTCCCTTGAAGTCCTATAAACCTGCATCTGTTTCGTATCTGCACATGTGCTATTTTTGCATGAATTGAAGAAGGGCAGAGAAAAAGGAATAAGAAAAAAAGAAAAAAAAAGAAAGAAGACGTGATGTTTGAAGGAAAAAAGAATAGGAAAAAAAAAGGAGAAAAAAAAGGTAGAAAAGAATAAAGACAAAAAACGTTGGTTTTTTGTTTGAAGGCCCACACGGGTAGAAAGAAATATGGTCTGTTTGGTTGGATTTTTTTTTTTATTGTTTGTTTGGAAGTTGGTATTGGTATTGGTATTAGCATCGACATCTGCATCGACATCGGCAGCGGCATCGGCATCGGCATTGACACTGGAATTTGGAGTCTTGCATCCACATCTACTTTGGCAAACCTATGTCGTGTACCGCATGAGTTTGACGGGGGTGTTGGAAAATATTATTATTTAAATTTATTTTAATGTTTGGTATTTTGGGCTTAGCCCGTTAGTATTAGGGTTTCGTTTCCTTGCCTATTAGGGTTAGGTTAGTTTTCTATATATATGGTACTTTGTAACTCTATAGAATAACAAGTTAGCCACAATGTAGTCTCTTAGGGTGCGTTTGTTGCACCGGACTATCTCGGACTGGACTAGCTTTGGGGACTAAGTTGGACTGGGTTAGACTAGACTAAGCTGGACTGTCTTAGTGAAGAGTTTGATGCAGTGTCGGACTAAACAACAGGATAACAACAAATTCTAATATTATATTTTTTCATTTATATTTTATTAATATTTTATATTATTTAATACATATTTAGTAATATTTTATTACTTCCACTGTCTATTTGCTTTTTCATTCTGAAACCACCCATCTCCATTTCTTCCTAATTTTGCTCCGACCCTCTCCCTCTCTTCGTCTTTTTCTTTTCCTTTCCACTCTCTCCTCCCTCAAAACAGCGTCATTCATCACCCCCTTTTGTTCTTTTTTTTTTTCCCTTTCCTTTTCTTTGATGTTGTGATTCCTCTAAAGACCGAGGCGAACGCTAAGCCGAGGGAGGATGACGACGAGCCCGAAGAAGGAGAGATCGTCGGCAACCAAGACTCGGCGTCGTCGAAGCCTTCGAAGGGAATTGCGCCGCAGTCTCACGCCCTGGAGCACTCCTGGACCTTCTGGTTCAATAGCCCTGCCGCAAAGTCCGCCAAGTCCAAGCAGGAGGATTGGGGCAGCTCCATCGGCCCGATCTACACCTTCATTACCGTCGAGGAGTTCTGGAGGTTAATTTCTTTCATTTCATGTGGTTTTGGGTTTAATTTTGTTTGGTTGGTAGGAAAACTGAGAAAAGATTGAATTTTTGCGTTTGTTATGTGCTTGCTGTAGTTTGTGATAGAACAAATTTGGCCATTTTTTGGTGGTGGAAGAACCCTCGCAGGGAGGAGGAAGAAGCCCAGAACTCACAGAAGGGCTCTCAGGGAGGAGGAAGAAGCCGGTCTTAGCAAGTCCCATGGTTTGGGGAGTGCCTCGCTAAGAACCTTTAAGGAGGCCTCTAGTCCACACGAGTCCCCTTTAGTCCCACTTAACTTAGTCCCATCACCTATCAAACATGGGACTGTAGTCCAGTCCAGTCCAGTCCCTCCTAAGGAGGTGAAACAAACGCCCCCTTAAGGTTTTGTAGCTGTTTCGGCATTCTCAGTTTGTTTAATAATATTCTTATTATTTGTTAGTCTTGTTCATTGTGCACTTTGATATTCAATTCTATCATGCATTCATTTTTGTTTATCTTGCTTTTGCATTTAAATTAGTGACGTGGAAGAAAATTCAGAAGAAAATCCAAAAGACTTTGATGAAGTTCCAATCAAATTGTTGAAAAAAAAAATCATCACCCATTGGTACAAAGACAGGTCCTCTTGCTTTAAAAAAAGACTAGGTAAATATTATTTATCCTTATTTTTTTCTTTCGGTGTAAATTTATTCAAAAATAAATTTGCCACAGTGATCTAAATGTTTACTTTCCATTTTTCTTTGCCTAGGTTGCTTTCCCAGTGGTGAAAAATACTTGACCAAAACGTCAGTTGTTCCAGGCATCAAATTTACAGTCCTTTCTCAATATATGTATCAAACATCCCTAATATTTTTGGCCATGTAAATAGCTCTCTCTAATCTAGACAGCACAATATTTTTTGGTATGTAAATAATTCTGTCTAACCTAGGGAGCATAATATTTTTTGCATGTAAATAGTCCATCACTATACAATCTTTAGTATCTAAGTGCTTTGGTGCAGCACAATGGATGACTGTAATATTTTTTGTATGTAGATTACCAAACATTTTGCAATCTTTTACCCTATAGATTGCATAAACTAAACATTTTATGTATTAAAATTTTCGATCCTTTTGATTGTAAATAATTTTAATGCTGTTACACTTTTTTTACATGTTTTGAGCCCAGTGTCTGGTGCAATTATTAATCCCGCAGCAACGCTCGGACAAAGTTTTCTAGTGATTTCTATGTTTGATTCTCTCATGTAACATTACTATTCCTATATTAAAATTACATTTCACGTGATAAAGATTGTCTGTTGCAATATTGATTTGGTTCTCCCTAGATTCCTCACAAGAAATCTTGAATTAAATAAAGATAGTCTGTTGCATTGATTTAATAGTCAAGTTGCATTACCTTATAGTTGAATCTGTTGTATTGATTTAATCGTCAAGTTGCATTACCTTATAGTTGAATTCATACAACAAGTAGATTAAGTAAATCCCATAAGCAACAATCAGTGCATTGACCACATGCTTGATTGGAATCTCTAAGCTCTCAAATGAATTGTTTTTCGTCTATTCCCGATAATTACTAGTATAAAAGTCAAATTTCTCGATCAAGCTAGGCACAGTCGTTATACCTCTTCTTCTCAATCAAAATGGTAAGAGCTTCTCTAATGTCGCTAATGCTCGAGATCCAAATTTCTTTCCTTGCTGTAATATTTACTTGTCTGGTCGCCCCAGTTATCCTTGTTATATACTGAAAGATGCACACTACCAGTACAACTGTTAGGCTACCCCCCGGACCATGGAAGCTGCCTCTCATCGGAAACCTGCACCAAATGGCTGCCAGCTCTTTACCCCATCGCTGCATGGCAGACTTAGCCAACAAGTATGGCCCTATCATGCACCTAAAACTGGGACAACTCTCGGCCATAGTCATTTCATCGCCGGAATTTGTTCAAGAGGTGTTAAAGACGCATGATGTTGCTTTCTCACAACGGCCAACGTTTCTTGCTGCTGAAATCGTGAGCTATAATTGTTCAAGTCTCATATTTTCTCCTTTTAACGATTTTTGGAGACAAATGCGAAAGATTTGTGTGCTGGAGCTCCTAAGTGCAAAACGCGTAGAGTCATTTACATCAATAAGACTAGAAGAGGCATCGAATCTTGTTCAATCAATTTCCTTATCAGAGGGTCACCCGTTCAATCTCAGTGAAATGATCTTCTCCATGGTAAACGTCATTATTGCCCGTGCGGCCTTGGGAAAGAAGTGCAAGTGAGCAAGAATTTTTATCACTGCTCAAGGATACAATTAGGCTTGGAGCAGAATTTGATGTGCCGGATTTTTTCCCTTCACTCAAATTCCTCCGTTATGTCATAAATTTGAAGCCTGCCGTTGAGAAAGTACACCAGAAAATGGACAAGATCCTTGATGAAATCATCAGCGACCATAGAGTGAAAAGGAATGAGGAATCAGCTGCTCGAGATGACCATCAGGAAGATATAGTTGATGTGCTACTGCGGCTCCAGGAGTCTGGTGAGCTCCAGTTTGATCTCACAACCACCCAAATCAAAGCTGTCACCCTGGTAATTAATCAGCACCATTTCATACATACATCAAACTTCATTTTAATTCTTAAAAAAAGATGAGTTTTAGACTATAACCTTGTGTAAGATTAAAATCTAATTTTAGCCCCTCATACATTTAATCATCTCATTTATTCATTATATTTTGATGTTTTATTTCTTTTTTTTCCTTCCTATTTTTAATGTATTAATTACATTTCATTTTCATTTTTATTTCATTCATCATAATATATTATGATGTCTACATTTAGGTAAACTAATTTTTTTATATAATATATTCCGATACAATTTTTATAATCTTCATATAGGTACAGTAATGGATTTGATATATTTCGGTATATCCATCGATACAAATATATAGATACATTAATTCAATATAATACATTTCAGTACATACATTTAGGTTCATTATAATATATGTCGTCAGTACAAACATTTCGGTACATTTATGTATTTATATATTTATGTGTTACAAATTTTTTTTTAATATTTTCTCATTTATGTTCATTTATAATTGAAGAAGAACTAATATGTGCATATTAATAAAATTAAAATTTTAATGTGGAGACATTAAATATAAATACATATTAAATAATAAAAATAGAATATAAATTTTAATAAAAGTAGACTTTAAGGAATTAAATTGAATAGTCTAGCATCAAGTTTTTATTTTTTTATTTTTTTTTTATTTTTTTAATTCTAATCTTTTGTAAGACTAATGTTCAAAACTTATGTTCTTTCTTTCTTGATTAAAATTGATCTGTTGATTAAGTTAGTTTAAAAGCGCATTAAGTGAACAAATTAAGTACTTTTTTTTTTCCCTTTATATATAGGACTTGTTTTCTGCTGGAAGTGAGAGTTCAGCAACTGCGATAGAATGGGCAATGGCTGAACTTCTGAGAAGTCCAATAGCAATGAAACAAGCACAGGCCGAAGTACGCCAACTTGTCGGAGGAAAGGGGAAGATTGAAGAGGCAGACATTAAGAAACTCGACTACCTGAAGTTGGTCATAAGAGAAACTCTACGATTACACCCTCCTCCTTTCATCCCAAGACAAGCAAGCCAAAAATGCACTATTGGCGGGTATGATATACCAACTGATGCGACAGTCTTCATCAATGCTTGGGGAATTGGGAGAGACTCCAAGTATTGGGAGGATGCTGATTGTTTTCTGCCGGAGAGATTCCAAGGCTCTTCCGTTGATTTTCGAGGGTCCAACTTCGAATTGCTTCCATTTGGGGGTGGCAGGAGAATCTGTCCAGGCATATCATTCGCAACCGCTGGAATTGAACTTGCGCTTTCTCATCTGCTCTACCACTTTAACTGGAAACTTCCCAATGCAAATGGCAGTGGCAATGAGACAAGGTTATCAGAAGAGCTTGACATGACTGAATGTAACGGATTGAGTATTAGGAAGAAGAATAATTTGTATCTCATCGCCATTCCTTTCATTTCGTCATCGGAAATGAATTGAAATGCATGCGTTGTTGGAACTAGCAAACACAATCCATAACTAAGTCTTAACAAGTGTTTGCGTTTTCATGTCATGTTGTGTTGTCCAGAATAACAGTTATGGAAATTGGCTTAAATGATCATGTTACAAATCAATGAAGTTCTCAAAATTAAATATCAATGATGTATTGATTATATATTGACAAACATGTCGATCAAATATCCACCGCGCAAGGAGGATTCTTTAGGATCGTTGGTGGTGGGCAAGGTGGCAAAGGGTGGGTGATAGGAATTGTCAACGAATTTCCAAAGGTCATGGCCTTAGAGGAAAGGCTTGGTTTGACGAAGCCCCCAGAAGATAGTTTGATTCAAAAAGCGTGATGAAGGAAGCTGTATCTTGAAATATTAATGTTAAAGTTGTTGTATTAATATGGATCCATACACAAAAGTGTGAAATTTTGTTTTTTGTTTTTAAAATTGAAGGAGAGAGAGGAAGAGAGGAAGAGAGGAAGAGAGAAAATTAGAGATGTTTTTTTAGGAGAAATAATGTTAAAATTAGTATATGTATATTATGGTTAAATTTTTTATCATATATTTTTATTGTTAGTTTGTACCTATTTTTAATTTGTACCCATATATTAGTTTCTTTTTGTGCCTATATTTTTTAAAGTTTTATTTGTGTTTGTACCCATGTGTATACCGTCACATGACATTGTATATTTAATCAATGATAGAAAAATTACATATGGTATACGCACGTTTTATGCCTAAACTTTGTATCATATATTTATATTTTTAGTTTGTACCCACTTTTAATTTCCAACATTTTTTTTAATTTGTAGTATTTTCTTTTTAGTTTTATTTTGTACTCATGTATTAATTTCTTTTAGCGCCTATATTTTTAAAAAATTCATTTGTACTCATAATTTTTTAATCTTTTATATGTACCCTAATTTATTTATAATGTACCCATTCTTCTTTATTAATGTACCACTTTGTAATATGTGAAATGTACCAATTTTTTTAACACTATGGATACATTCTTTTGCCATTTATTATTTCTTATTTTTACATAGTCTTTATCCATTTATTCAATCAAAATGTTTGAATCTTTTTATTGTAACCGTTTCTAATAGTATTATAATGAGGGATTTTAAATTTATAGGATTATAAATCTCATAAAATATCAAACAATTAATGTCAAAACTATAAAACTATAAATATTAATTGTAATATAATGAGGTGTACAAAGTCAAGGGACTTTGATCAAACTTTGAATACCATTAAGGTTTTAATCAAAGAATGTTAAGGATTAGGGACCGCATCCAAAGTATCCCTATTTTTTATTTTTTAATATTTAAAAAAAATTAGAGATGTTAAAATCACCTATAGGTGAGGTGTAAACCAAAAACAACAAAATTTTGTTTTGTAAAATTACGTTATTGCCCTTGACCTTTTTGTTGTGATAAAAGATTAAATAGTCTTTTCACCTTCTTTTGGTTGACAAAGAGGGTTCTATTAATATGTACTTTAGATAAGGGCCAACTTTGCTTTATTTTATTTTAGGGTTGATCTCAGTTTACTACCTTAAAGTTTTGTGGTTTCCAACATTTAGTACATGAAGTTTTTTTCATCCCAGAATTATACCTCAAGTGTTAATTTTGGAACAATCTCATATATTTGTTAAGCTGGTTGTTAAGTTAGTCGTTAACTAATGATGTGGTGCCCACATGGACAATGATTGAGCGCCACATGTCAATATGGGTCCATGTGGATACTAAAAAATTTTAAAAATTAAAAATGAAAAAAAAAATGGCCATAGGGATGTAGGCTTCTCCTTGGGTTTTTACAGAGAACCTCTCTTTCTTCCTTCTTTCTGGCATTCACTGCGACGATTTCGAAGGCAGGCAGAGAGTTGTAGTAACTGGGCTAAGTTGAGAATGAGAGAGGAGTAGCAATTGGCTGAGTTGAGAATGGGAGAGGTGGAGCCACGATGATCGATTTGTCGGAGCTCGAGTTGAAGCGAGTCGACAGATTTGAGAGCAAGGTTGGAGATTATTGAGGAGATTCAGGCGGTTACCAATAATTGGACTTTAGTTCGAGAGACGTTGAGGCTTCAGTTCCTACGAATTGCAAGAATGTCAAACAAGGCGGAGGTGGGAACAAGTAAAACGTTGCCACTACCACCTACCTTAGCCCCAGATTCCTTCAATGACGTACCATGTGGCTCAACCCCAATGGGCCGCCCATTCTTTTCCTAAATTCACCTAGCCCACCCTATCTACGACCTCCTACATCCACAAGCTCGACCTCTTTATGGCCATTAAGTCATCCCTCTCCTCTACCTTCTTCCCCTCCCTTCCCTTCTAGTCCTTCACCGTCTTCGTCCTTAAAGTCTCTCAGATGCCTTTTGTTGAAAACTTTTAGTTCAACAATCGGCCTACCCACCCACCATCAAAACCCTCAATCTGGACCTTCCGATCGACGACCTAGAATCTATTCAGATCCAACAACAAGGACGCTATCGTTGTTGGTTTTGTGCTGTACGAGGAGCAAGGGAGAGGTGAAAAGGGAGTGTAATAGGAGGAATACGCTTGGGAAGATGCTACAATCAGCAATGATGAGGAAGATTTATTTTTCAACTTTTTTATTTTTTTTAATTATTTAATTATTTAATTTTTAATTATTTAATATCCAAGTGGGCCCATATTGACATGTGGCGTCCAGTCATTGTCCACATGGTGTGCCAAATCATCAGTTAACAGTTGACTTAACAATCAGCTTAACGAATGTATAAGACTTTTCTAAAATTAAAACTTGATGTGTGAAATGTCGCCTCTAGATTTCACTATTTAAAATTATGTATTCTGTTATTGTATGTTGCTACGACGCATTTATATTTACGGCATATAATTTTTGTGATAAGTAAAAAAACAAAAACACCCTTAATGGACTAAACGGGATTTTACGAGGCTGTATTTAATCCTTTCATATTTTTTCACGTGTCTTGACATATTTGGATAGTGCTTGTTGATACAAATGCGTATGCAAAAATGTAATGTAATTTGGAGTTATACAAAGATTTTACGAACCTTTGAACATTGAGGGTATTTTGGTAATTTGACATTTGCAACACATGTTGCTTTTTGGGCAAATGGGAGTGTGCCACATGGGACCCAGGGAGGAGTCCCTAATCTTTTGGAACTCTCTCCCTCTCATTTTTTTTCTCATGGGACTCTT